AAAATCTCACTTCTGTACATCTCTTAATTTATTTTTCAAGAAGTTTATTTATTTATTTCTTTATGAACAAGACAGACAGAAAGAGAGAGACAGAGAGGCAGGCACCTCCACAGGGTCTTCATCCTGTGATTGCTCTCCTGAATCTCTTGTATGCCTGGTCATTGGCATACAACAGCATGTCTGGTGTACTCAGGGGTGTCAGAAACACGAACCCAGGACCTTTCCCATATGGATCCATCTGGGTTACTTCTGTGCTACCATCTGGCTTTCATTAAATTTTTTAAGTGAAAGGAAAAAGAAAAACCCCTGATATAAGACTATTGTGAATATAGAATGAAAGAGTAAGTAAGGGAAACATTTAGATGTTCAAGTAATAAACGTGAATATTACTTAGTCTAGGTTTAGTCTGGTACCCTCTATTGATTTGAAGAATATGATGCTGTTATAAAGTGGAAAAAATATTTCATTATAATCTGTGAATGATATGAAGATAAGTTTCCTCCATCAAATCAAACAATAGTTCTCATGTTGTTAGAAAATTGTAAAAAAAAAAAACAGAAATTGGCAGCATGAAAGCAAAATATGCACAGTGATTTTATAAATTCATTTATAGCATTATAAGCTCATGAAGATGACACTTCTTTGAGCATATGTGTGTGAACTTCCATCAACTCCCAGGGACATTGAACATCTTCTGAGGACAGAGGGTTTTCTTGATGGCATCTTTCATGTCTTTGTTCCTCAGACTGTAGATTATAGGGTTGAAAAACGGGGCCAGCACAGCAAACATCAGTGCAACAGCCTTGTCCAGTAATGGTGGAAATGTGACAGAAAAGTGCAGGTACATGAGTGTCACACTGCCAAAAAACAGCAGGAAAATGGTGACATGGGCTGCACAGGTGGAGAATGCCTTCTGCCGGCTCTCCCCTGGGGGGAGTCTTAGGATCACTGTGATTATTTTTAAATAGGAAAGGGTGATGATAGAGACAGAGGTCAGGATGGAAATAGCATGAATGACATCTTCAACCAGAATCATGGACGTATCTGCACAGGCCAAGCGCAGCACAGGTTCAAAGTCACAGAAGAGCTGATGGATTTCGTTGGGACCACAGAAGGGAAGAGTAGAAATCCACACAGTCTCTGGTAGTAACATAAGAAAGCCAAAGATGCAAGAGCCAGTAGAGAGCTGAATGCACAGTCGAGGGGTCATAATTATTGCATAGCGGAGAGGGTTGCAGATGGCAACATACCTGTCAATGGCCATCAAGGTGAGAACTAGACCTTCTGTGACCCCAAGTGAGTGGAAAAAATATATCTGCAGGAGGCAGCCAACAAAAGAGATGGTCTTCTGTTCACTGACCAGGTTGGAGAGCATCTTGGGGATGGTCACGGTGGTGTACCAGATCTCCAGAAAGGAAAAGATGCTGATGAAATTGTACATGGGGTTGTGTAGACGTGTGTCTAGCCTTACAGCCAAAAAGATAATGAAATTTCCAACAAGAATAAACACATAAATGAAAAGCAAAGGAATGAAGAATAAGAGGCTGCCATTCTCAAACTTAGGAAAATCAGAGAAGTAAAACTCAGTCACCATTGTCTGATTCTCCTGATTCATATTTTTGATTGTTTCACTTGTTGACTGGTGGAATTGATTACATCAGAATTCTAAATAATTTGAAAAATATATATATATAAACTTCTTTTTCAAGTAGCTAATGGTCTTAAAGTCAGGTTGATTAAATAAAATATACCATGTGAGTTATTTTACAAATTATAAAGCAATCCTGTCATATTACACATTTTATGTAATTGTAATACTGTTTGTTATCAACTATTCTGTTAGATATAAAAATAGTTTTGCTATTTAAACATATAATTGGCACAAAATCTCTTAGATGTCAATTTGGCAATTTTGATTAATAATTCTAATAATGATTAGAGTCTGCTTTTTACTAGTCTAAATAACTATTTTTAAACATAATTGCTACTATTTTTAGTCCAAATAACTATTTTAAACATAAAAAATCTGACACATTTATTATAACAGCAAACTAGAAAAAAATCCAGTGAGTAGACATTTTTAATTTTTGAGATAAAATAATGGGGACACAGAATAAGTTGTGACAAAGTGATCTCTGTGGGTAAGAATAAGACCATTTTAAAGTGAACATCTTCAAAACTAAGGTGCAGGTATCCGCTTCTGTCTATCTGCCTCATTATTAATAACTGAGTAAACAGAAAAGGCCAAATATTATACTAAATATAATTTAAAAGACAACAATTTAGACCCATGTGATATTGTGATCTATTTGTGTAGATAATTAAACTTTATTTTTTTCTGGAAGTAGTGTGTTTTCCAGGAAAAGACAGAGAGAGAGAGGAGAAGGTACATTCTTCAATGGGCTATGGTCACACTGCAATCCCTTTTCCTCCGTTTCTGCCTTTTTGAGATTTCAGGCACATACTTACCTGTGCCTGGTGTATTTCTCAAACCATCTAGTCTGAGACTCGAAGGACACAGTCAGCCATCTGCGTTAACCACCAGACCAAGGAGTAAGCTCGTGTTGATCTTAATCTGAATTTTAAGGGGAATTAGTTGGTATTTGAAGTACTCTAATCTAGAAATCATTATTTTAGGAGTGGCTTGGTAATATTTGAATGGCTTTAGAAAGCAGTCCACATGCAGAAACAGGTTTGGCAAAAGCTTCAGATGTCCTTATCAGTATCCATGTTACAGGGTTCCCTGATGGACATGGAGCGGGTTTGCTCAGCTTTGGTATTACTGCCATTTTGGACTAGATTCTTTGCTGGAGGAGAAGAAGAGGCTATCCTGTGTCCTAGGCTATCCTGTGTCCTCCAGGATTGTTAACACTATTCCTGGTCTCTACATACTAGATGTTAGTGACACAGATCCCTTCCTCGGTCAGGACAATCAAAATGGCTCTAGAAATCGCCAAACATTCATGCAAGGTGAAAAAATGCTCCCATTGAACACCACTGACAAACTGATTTTTTTTTTTTGATAGAAAAACAAGTGATCAATCTATGTTGATATGCTAGAAATATGCCTAAACCCCTGTTTGAAGGGATGTAAGAATATGGTGAACCAAGTGGCTTATAAAATGTGGAAGGAGCAACAAGTACAAGACTCACTCATTGCTGTTTGTCCCTTAGTGGGGGATTCACCACCTAATCTCACCCGAACGGTAGTTTTGCCAGAGACGAAAATTTTGTCACATTTTGTCTTTGACAGAAGCATTCTTTTATTTTTACTAATCAAGTAACCTAAAGGAGAAAGAGTTAGGACTTCCCTTAGGTCCCAAGAATAGGATAGTTTGTGTCTATTTTCTAATAAATGTTTGCATGACAGAATTCTGAAACATGCCTTTTTTGTGTTAGACTACTTGTAGGCTCTTATTTAAAGAATTAGTATATTTAACTTTATTTATTTTATTTATTTTTATTCATTTATTTTAATTTGACCAGAAAGAGTCAGAGTGAGAGAGAGGAAGAGAAAGAGAAAGAAAAGGAAGGTTATTTTTGATAGGACCTCAATGAAGTAAACTATTGATACTTACCAAAAGAAATCAGACAGCTGTGAACTACTAACAGAGAAATATATAGATAAATAAATATATAAAATTACTTTGAAACAAGATTACCAGAGACTATAATTAAATGGGAAGTCAGTTTGGCATACTAAAACCATTTTTTTTTTTTTTTGCTTTTTATACATACAGGAGAGAATATTCAATTCATGTCAAAGCAGAAGAATTATGAGACAAAATTCTTTGCTTTAAGAAAACTTCTACCTAAAAAATAGAGATGCAGAAAAAAGCTAATTACTCTTCTCTGGACTCATTGTCTTCAGACTTGACTTGCTCCAATTCATTCCTCACTCAGGCACTGGAGTAATATTTCTTAATTATAAAGTTGTTAGTCCTCTATCTGGAAACCTTATCATGGCTTCTGAAGGCTTCGAAATCAGATTTGAGTTTCTAAGCATGACAAATATCAATGTATGTGTAATTTTAAAATCATTTTCACATTCTAATGTCTTTTGGCTTTGTTAGTCCCAAAGACACTATGGTATGACAGAAAATAATAATTTTCTGGTTCTCACATTCGGAAGCAGCAGGGGGATGAGCAGGGAAGTATCATTATACACTATGGCCAGTACATTTCAGAACTGGAAAATCGGAAGCTTAGAAAAGGGAAAAATGCTAAGCCTATAGTTACTTTGGTTTTTAGAAATGAAAGAAGATGTGTATGTGGAGGCAACCTGATGCAAATAGTTGGGCCCAAAACTATGTCTTATGACATAATTATGACTCCTATATTTTCTGAGAGAATAGATATCCCATCTATTACTTACCAGTTAATAAACCACTCTCTTTGCCCTGATATTTATTTATTTTTAAGGGCATTTCCTGAGTCTGGTAAATAAAATGCAAACCTCCAAGATTAGAATTTGACCCAGATAGCAATAAAAGTGAGAATAGCGTAGGGCTATGGGTCCAGAAAAACAAATTAATAGATAATTTCTCCAAGTGTCTATCTTAAGATTGTCTCTAGAACCTACTGAAGACCCTCTCCCACCTCATGTGTTTGTGTAACCTCAACAAAGTTTCTGCATGTCTCTTTCTTTTTTTAATTTGCCAGAGGGTGTATGTGTGATCACCAGAGAGAAAAAAAAAAAAAAAAGAGACAAGAGAGAGGGGGAAAGAAAGCACTACCCTCCCCATGGGGTATGATCAGACCACAATCCCTTTTCCTCCATGTCTTCCTCCTTTTAGGATTTTGGGCATAGCACACATGCACACACATTCACTATAGTTTTCAAGCTGCCAAGTCCAGGACTCAAACCATGCAATTGGCTATGTGAGAGCCATCTGCCTTAACCACCATACCACTGGCTGGTCCTCTGCAAGACTCTTTCATATAAGTCCAACAGAAAAAAAATATATATGAGACTCTTCACCAGCACATAGCAAACAAAGCTTCTCACCTATATCCCAAAGCACAGAGCTCACCACGCTTCCTATACTCACCTTTCCTAGAACCCAAAAAAGTCACCTCTTCTTTTCCCAATGGCTTTGTTTTCAGTGCTCTGCAATCAAGCAAATGAAATTATAATCACAAGTGCATTTGTAGGCTTCTCAGGGAATAGACAAATGAGAGGAAGGTTTTCTTCTGAAGAGTTCTCCCTCAGTGCCAAGGGAGAGCAATTCTGTGCCTCGTGTGGTTAATTAGAGGAACACTTGCCACACTGCACTGCCATGAAGCCAGAACACTCACTAGACGCTACATTTTTAGAAATCAGATGTAAAGAGGTACTAATTTTTTTCTGCTTGTGGGTGAAAGGATTGTTTATAGTAAAAGGTGTCTGCTGAGATAGCATGTCTTAGTCCTTTACTGCATTGCTAACAGAAACACCTGAGACTAGGTGACTTATAAAAAAAAATAGAAGGAGAGATAGAAGGAACAACACGGAGACCCTACAATCCCAGAGACAGAAGTTAGAGCTACTGCTCCACATGTACTGATGCCATTCTCTCCCCCTTATCCACCTAGCATCAAGATGCAGGCTGAAGTCAAGCCAGTCTACTGTGGGAAAGGAGGGGCTCTCTGGCCTTGAACCAAAACCTGATTCCTGCAATCCCAGAGACAGAAGGAGTAACAGGAACACCCTTCAACTCCAGAGAGAGAAGGGCCAACAGGCAGGCCCAAGCCAAGCCATCTGTTGAGCTCCTCAGCAGGGACCCCCACCCAGCCTGTTATGGTAGAGAAGGCCTCTTTGGCCTGCAGGTTACATAATGCATCATGAAATGGTCTACCATCTTATATTCTAGCTGTCGGCTCACTTCCATCTACATTGGAGAACCTAGGATGGAGTATACAAGAACCAAACACCTAAAAATAGGAGACTCCAGAAAAGTTCTTTTCCCATAACTTCCTAGGCACTAAAGGAGAGAAACTCCCCTCTGAAAACCTGCACAAAAATCCTACTGTGGATTCCATACTCCTACCCCCAGGAGAGGAAGGAAATTGTCACAGAACTTACGTATGCCATAGAGAAATGCAGGAGCACACAGCCACAGAGTAGGAAGAATAAGTAGGAAGAAGTGAGTATACCACCAGATAACTAAAAATTAAAGCAGAGCCCCAAGAAATAGGAGAAAGTCAGGAAATGCCTCCTGACTTTTCACAATTCATCACCCACAATGGATAAAACACAAGAGATTGCATTGCAAATATGTCAGAAAAAGAATTCAGAATATTCATGGTAACAAAAGTCAATGAGGTACAAGAGAAAACAGACAGCCAATTCCAGGAGATGAGAAAATCCTTCTATGACTTGAAGGAGGAGTTCCATAAAGAAATAGACACTTGGGACCAGCAGATGGTATAATGGGTACATTGCTGGACTCCCGCATAGTTGACCAAGGTCCAAGTTCCAGTACTGGTGGCTTAAAACTCATGCAGGACACCTGTGCTTGTGTGCTCAAAATCTCAAGAAGAGAATGGAGAAGTTTGTGGCATGGCCATCCCTCTTGTGGGGTCATTTCTCGCTTTCTGTTTCTCCATCTCTCTCTGTCTCTTGGGCAAGTGCAT